TTTAAAAAAAAAAAAAAAAAAAAAGAATTGTCCAAATGTCTTTCTAATCTAATTTATTCAAATTCAATTATGGGTGAGATATAATAGTTTTGTATGAAATTCATTATGCAATTATAGGGCCTGTTTGGGCCCAATTTTTTCATCCAAAAAATTGATTTTTTGACCGTTATTTCACTATTCCAGTCGTCATATTTGACTTCTTCTCTCACATGTGGACCCCACTTTTCACCTAACGGTCAAAAAATCAATTCTTAAAATCACTCCCAAATAAGCTCATAATAAGAATGTTTGGAAAAACTTGAGGGACAAGTCAAAGTGGTAAGGGCAGTGAAGGCTTGGACGGAGTAGAGGAAAAGGAAGTGAAAACAAATATTTATAAATGAGTAAGTTGAACGATAAAGGGCGATCAAAATTAAGTGAGAATGCTTCATTCAATATGAACGAATCCTTTTAAAACTGTTTAAAAATAAAAATCATTGTCCTCACTCAAATAGTCACGTTCTAAAATTATATCCTCCAAGATGATGAAACCCTTTCATTGTGCTTGAATGACAAAAAACTCTCGATCATCTCAATAATTTAATATTCTAATATAAAATATATATGTGATATGAACACAAGACTTTGTAATTTTTCCTCCAATCAAGATAAAAGATCCCATCGACGAGGTAAATCTAATGCATATTGTATAAACATCCAAGAGACTACATCGTGCATACTTTATTGTAATGTATGTCATTATGGCATTATAAAAGTTGTAATAATAATTGATATTTTAGTATTCTGTTTTTTAAGAATAGAAAATAGATGCAACGGTTACTTTTCTGAGGTGATGTAATTTGGGTGCGCCTAACACGGTTCTGTCAGCATTGCATGTGAATGTTCGATTTAATGAAATAATACTATTTCCCCGTTTGGTAGGAATTTTTTGTCCCAAAAAATTGATTTTTTGACCGTTATTTTACTATTCAAGCCGTAATTTTTGACTTCTTCTCTCACATGCGGACCCCACTTTTTTTCTAACGGTCAAAAAATTAATTCTCAAAATCCCTACCAAACGGGCCCTAAGGTTTTTTTTATGACATCATTTAAATTACATATTCTTCAATAAAATAATATTACACACAAATTCAAAATTTTTTCATATTTTTAAAATACACTCTCCACAATCTACTATTACAAAATACATTCTTTTAAAATAGCGTGCCTCAAACACACTCTAATTATATAAAATACGCCATTCTTTTATAGGAATTAAAATTTAGATTTTAATTTAAGTTAAAATCAATAATTAATTTTAATCACATATTTCATGGGATTTACAACTTTTTAATCACACAATTTATTATCTATCTTTCTACTAAAAATCTGATTTTAATATCCACCAAATAAGGACAAATATATAGAAATGAATGATTTAATGAGTACCATTGTGCTAAGCAGCTCACAGACCATAATCATTTTCTTGACAAAATAAAAATACTAGCTTTTTAAGGGTAAAGTAGATGAAACGACCAATTTGTAACTTCTTGAGACTATTAAAGGGGTGGACACTATTTTCAACTAATTAATAGTGAATAAGCATTCATTTATGAAGAATTTATAAATAGAAATATGCAAGTGGTGATAAAGTTATAAAATCTCCCAAACAAAGGCTAATGATATCTAATATGAGTCTAGGTGACAATAATGTTTGTTGACATCCAAACTCTAACCTAAAAAATACAGTTCGCTAACTTCACCTCAGTTAAATGTAAGTTCGGCCCATACTCCTAGGTCGGACAAATCCGTCGTTATCTCAGAAAAATATCATGATTACCCTTTCTCACATCACCCTATCAATCAGATACACTTGGCACAGGTGGCATCATCGCCGTCCAGAACAACCAATTCCTAGTCCTCGAACTCCAACACCTTGTAGGTCATCATTACCTGGGTAATACATTAACACATGACCACCAACCTCATCGACCAATCACAGGAGAATTTGGCGACCCGAGTTCTGAGCTTGGTACTGTTGCTGATTAGACTAATTTGATGTAATTTCGGCTGAAAATATATATAAATAGTTAAATAGGACTCTTGTAAAAGGCAAATAAATTCATATAACGACTTATGGCACAATCACACTTAAAAGATATTTTTTGTGGTTTTTTTCAAGCATAAATCACATTTTTTCTTAAAGTTGGTTCAAAATTATCCTTGCTAATTTTGACGTCAACAGTTTAGCACTAGAAGAAGGTCCCTAATTGTGAAAAATAGTCTCATTCGCTCCACAAAATGTCAAGAGCCATGAGTCATAGTTCAAGTTCCAGAAATCCATCTCACACTCACTCCCATGAAACGAATACACCACTGAGTCCTCCACAACGGTAGGACCCTCAAATGACCGCAATGAGGGAAGCCTTGAAAAAATTGACAAATGCAGTAGGACGACTGGAAAGGAGCCAAGCCCATTCGTCCCCACCAAATACCGAGGTGAAATCCCCTATAAGGATAAAGGCAAGGCGTCTCCCCACCAGGAGGACTCTCCACTTTTCAAGAGGAGAATCATCAAGAAGTCAAACTGACAAGGCCAAAAGCAAGGAACCCGAGACGAGAAGGACTGCAAGCGTGTTCGACAGATTGGGGACCCATCACTCGCTGACTCTTACGCAAGGACAAACCGACCTGAAACGTCCTTTGGAACAAATAGAACCTGAACTAAGCGCGCTTAAAAAACGCATCATCGAACTGGAGACTAAAAACAAAGGTAGCACTGAAGGTTACCAAACCAAACGACATTTTCCCTTAGCGATACAGTGAGAGAAAAAAAGAAGCCGCAGTCCCCAGCCCGAAAAAAAGAAGGATAGGAGAGAAAGAGAACGTCCCAGGGCTCAACCATACAAGTTCCGGGAGTACCACCCACTCAAAGCCTCCTTGGAAGAGATATTCACGCAAGCCAATACAAAAAGGCATTTCGTAGACCTATAATCCTAAAGGACAGACAAGCAGGACAACACCAGGGACGATACTCTCGATATCACAGGACGATAGGTCATGACACTGATAACTGTCGGGACTTAAAAGAGGAAGTTGAATCCTTAATTCGAAGAGGTGGTTACAGAAGTTTGTTGCCAAGCCAAAAGAAACAGATCGACCTACGATGCAGCAGCCACTGCTACAGGGGGCTCCCACACGAGCCCAGCAAGCAATCCCTAACCGTAACCCACCCCCACATGCCGAAATCAAAATGATGGTGGGCGAAAATCAGTATATTGAAGGATCCAAAAGGGCCAGGCGAAGGCAAGCCCGAAATGCAAAAATCGTGTCGAACTACTGGAATCAAACCCCTAAGACTGGCATAGACCCTGAATCGTTCTGGTTCACAGAAGAAGATTCTGAAGGAATCCTACAAAACCAGAGTGATGCCCTGGTGGTCACAATGACGATTGCCGAAGTAAAAGCCTACCGCACTTTAGTGGACAATGGAAGTTCGGTCAACATACTGTACTTACGAACCTTGAGACGGTTGGAAATATCAGCCCGCTACCTCCAACCGTACCCAAGGAAGCTACAAGGATTTTCTGGGGATCCTATTGAAGCCCTAGGTCAGATTGTCCTTATTGTGGAGCTGAGCGAAGCTCCTTACCAAAGAAGGATCCTAGTAGATTTTGTGGTGGTCGATTTGCCATCCAATTACAATGCAATATTGGGACGACCCATTTTACACGAACTAAAAGCTGCCACGTCAATTTATCATTATTGCGTGAAATTTCCCACTCCTTATGGGACTGGAATTATCCAAGGAGATCAAGCTACTGCAAGGGCCTGCAACGTCGACCTGCTAAGGCCACAAGTCAATATGCTATGGAGTAGGACGAACACGCAAGTCGAGGAAGCCAGATCGAAGAGACCAATCGCTGCGAATCTCTCGGAGATCGGCATAACGGAAAAGAATCTCAAAAAAGCCACAGATGAGCAACTGTCCTTTGACAAGAAGGAGACGGACCCACATCCTTACCACGGAGTTCTGGTAATCTCGTTGCTTGTGGCCGAGGTAACCATCCCCAAAGTCTTGGTGGATACAGGAAGCGCTCTGAACATCCTATTCAGCAACACCCTTAAATGGATGGGTATCCCTGTTAACTTCCTTCGACCATACCAAATATGGTCCTAGAATTATGTGGAGCCTTGACTTCTGCCTAAGGATGAATCAAACTCAAAGTTGAATCAGGATTAGCACCCCGGCAGGTGAAGACGAACTCCTAGTTCGTGATGTTCAACACCCCCTCCCCTTATGACGCTGTGATGGAACAGCCCCTACTCTTCAGCTTGAGAACATCAGTCCCCTTATATCACTATTCTATCAAGTTCCCCAC